TGCCAGAGTTTTCCTGTAAAAACTACAGTTTTTTTTTTACAGTGTACTGGCCTTATGGGACATTTAAAAAATTAGGCATTCCTGGCCCCAAACCTCTTCCCTTATTTGGCACTTTGCTGCAGTATCGAAAGGTAAGTGTATATAACTTTTTTAATACATGAATTAGTTCCATTTTTTTCCATAAACGATACAAAAACTGTGTTTTTTGATACATCTATCAAAAGGTAAGGGAACATGCTGAGCTATATGACATATTTAAGCGCTGAAAACAAGAACATTTTGACTTAAAGTTGACACAAATTGTTGAAGTGGGGTTGATGAGGGAATTAACCTGCGTAAACTGAAGCTTTAATACAAGTTTGGCATTTGTTAAGAACTAAACTGCTTGAAAACTCCCTAAAAGAAATCATAAAGCTATGACACAATGTGCAGGTTTCCTGACGTTATAATTAGGGTTTTATTTTGGAACGTCTTATCTAACATGTTTAGTAACATGTTAATTTTAACTTGTGTAATACAACTTATTTAAATCTTGTTCACATTTCCATAGCTGTTATCTGTTGGGCTTTTTTCATTATTACATGAATTAAAGGATGCTTATGTGCATAAATACATTTTTATTGTAAATAAAGTTGGATTTTTTTTTTTTAAGTATTAAAATTACAAAATCCACAAGTCATAGCACAAATAGTAAAAGCACAAAGTAGGCAGAGGCAGTTAGCTTGAAATAAAAAAAAAAGGAAATATTAAAAAAATGTCGTAATATAATAGTATGGATGCTGAAAACGATGTTAAATTTGAAAATGTTCGGGACAATCAGTTTATTAAAATATATATTTTAATGTTTATTTTAAGAACTTGTGTTTTTATGTGCACATTTTTATTTTTCTACCCAGGGATTCTTTGCCTTTGATGAAGAATGCTTTAAAAAATATGGGAAGGTTTGGGGGTAAGTTGGCTTTTTTTTCCTACTCTGCAGATTTATATTATTTCTTCTTTTCACTTTCCACAACAGCCGTAGCTAGAAGAGCTGATTGCTTACTTTATAAGGATTTTCACTGACTCATTAATTCTCGTTGCCTCTGTTGTTGATGTTCTTGTGTTTCTCAGAATATACGATGGCAGGCAGCCTGTGATGTGTATTGCTGATCCCGCCATAATAAAAACTATTCTAATTAAGGAGTGCTACTCTCTGTTCACCAACCGCAGAGTATGCAGTCACCGCAGTGCAAAGCTCATTCATTCTCTCTGGCTTATGGCTTCCATTTGAGTTCATCTGCGTTTTATTGTTGCAGAACTTCCGTCTGAACGGACCTCTGTATGATGCCGTGTCTATAGCAGAGGACGATCAGTGGAGGAGGATCCGCAGTGTCCTTTCTCCTTCTTTCACTTCAGGGAGACTGAAAGAGGTGTGCCCACCTCTCCCCCTAAAAGTTCTCTTTTTATTTCCTCCGGTGATGTGTCTTTTTATGGTGTTTGTTGTCTATGCTTCAGATGTTTGACATAATGAAGCGCCATTCCGCTAACCTGGTCGGCAGCATGAAAAAGAAGGTAGACGAGGATGAACCACTGGAGATGAAGGAGTAAGAGCGCTTACAAATGATGACAAATGTATAAATGTACCACTTTATGGTGTTTTAAACAAATCTGTGTGCATCTACAGCTTCTTTGGCCCGTACAGTATGGATATAGTGACCAGCACAGCCTTCAGTGTGGACATTGACTCACTCAACAACCCGTCAGATCCTTTTGTCACAAACATCAAGAAGATGCTGAAGTTTGACCTGTTGAGCCCTCTCTTCCTTGCAGTTGGTAAAATATGTTTTAAAAGGCCTAATGTTGCACATCTCTAAACTTTATAAATATTCTGACTTATAAACGTTTGCCCTAACAATTGGATTTTTTTTAAGTATCTTTCAAAGCAGCTTTTTTTTTTTTTGCATATTCAGATGTTGAATATTTGATACTCATAAAGCTGGACTCTGTTTTTTGAATGGCCTCGAGTACATACCAACAAATTGTGAAATCCCTAAAAAAGCTGGAGATGAAAAGTGGCTTAAGATCTAAAACGTTCAAGTTAAAACGTCTGAAACAGGCTCATGATGCAAATCAAACCACAACAGGCTCATAGGTTTACAGCTGAGTTCTCCCAGTCCTCAGATTTCCTGTGAGATGACCCAAGAATCTCATAGTACTGTAAACCTATGTACAAGAATACCATATAATACCAGCTTTATTTATAGAGCACTTTAAACACCCACAAGACCAAAGTGCTGAACACATACTAAAACAATCATACAGTCAGATAGCAAAGAGCAATTAAAATAATTAAAAGTCAACATTACAGATGGTGTCAAAGGCCAAGGGGAAGAGATGGTTTTGAGAAGGGATTTAAAAACAGACCGGGAAGAGATCTGTCTGATGTCCAAGGGAAGGTTGTTCCACAGTTTAGGAGCTGACACAGCAAAAGCTCGGCACGCTCAGGAGCAGCTGATCACATGACTTGAGGGATCGAGAGCGTGTATGGATGTAGTAACTTGGACAGATAGGGTGGAGCAAATCCATTAAGAGCTTTAAAAGCAAATAAAATAATTTTGAAATGAATCATAAAATGTGCGGGCAGCCAGTGCAGGGAGGCTAAAACTGGAGAAATGTAGTCAAACTTTCGTGTGCCAGTTAAAAGCCGTGCAGCAGCATTCTGGACCCTCTGAAGCTGAGAGATACATGAATCACTGATTCCTGTATACAGTGCATTCAGCCGAGTGGTCACAAAGGCGTGAACTACTGTTTCAAAATGCCGCTGAGAAAGAATCGGCTTTACTTTAGCCAGCTGCCTCAAATAGAAAAAAATAGTTTTAACAACTGCTCTCATGTGATTTTCTAATCTACTAGCATCAACTTTGACCCCTAGGTTTGTAATAGTAAGTAAGTAAGTAAAACTTTATTTATACAGCGGTTCTCAAGATAGTTGGCCTGATATACTGGGCCAAGAAACCAACATCTACATTGGGAGTCTCGGTGGAGCTTCCAAAGGCCCTCACCTCAGTCTTTCCCTTATTGAACTTTAAGAAGTTCACAGCCATCCAGGCTTTTATGTCCTCCAGACATGAAAACAGAGGGCCCAGAGAGTTAGAGTCCTTTTTCTTTAGCAGGACATACTGTATATCTGTGTGTCATCCATGTAACAATGAAAGAAGATCCCCAAATTTCTAAAAATTAGACCCAAGAGGGAGCGGGTACAGCGTGAAGAGGAGTGGGCCTAAGACTGAGCCCTGCGGAACCCTAGAATCTACCGAATGACAAAAATCTGGTTAAATAAATGTACTGTTTTGAAATGTGTGTCTTATACCATTAACCATAATATTGTTAAACCCATAAACAATACATTTCTGCAGCTCAAAAATACAGTACACCTTATCTGAATATGAATATGTTTGCAGTTTTGTCTTTGGTAGTCATACATGTGTTATTTATTTTCAGCCCTCTTCCCGATCGTTGGTCCCTTATTTGAAAAGCTCGAGTTTTCCTTCTTCCCTACATCTGTGACAGACTTCTTTTATGCTTCTCTGCGAAAGATCAAGTCCAATCGTGAGAAAAGCAAGCAGCAGGTAAAACCGCAGGCGAGTCTTTGTTGAGTCTTTTCACTTCTTTGCCTCGGTAGGTTCAGAAAAATGATCAGATTTCATCTCGTAGGGTCGAGTGGATTTCCTCCAGCTGATGATTGATTCTCAGAAAAACAACGACCACGGTGAGGTGCAGCAGGACAAAGGTGATGCACACACCCAGCTACACACACACGCACACAACTTCAAGCCTTACAAACCATATTGTATGCTTTCAATCGTCACAGGTTTGAACGATCATGAGATCCTTTCCCAGTCCATGATTTTCCTTTTCGCTGGTTATGAAACAACCAGCAGCACTCTCACTTTCTTGGCTTTCAATTTGGCAACAAACCCAGAGGTCATGAAGAAACTTCAGGAGGAGATTGATGCCACCTTCCCAAACAAGGTATGGTTAAAGTGAGAAGACACAGCATTTGAAAGGAGAAAGCTAAATGTGTTTTTGTGAACTTGGGGACTCGTGAGGCACATGTATACATCACTGCCGTGAATGCAGGTGTGCTTGTGTTTGTGTAGGCTCCGATTCAATACCAGGCCTTGATGGAAATGGAGTATCTGGACAGCGTCATCAACGAGTCCCTTCGACTCTTCCCCATCGCTGCACGCCTTGAACGTGTTGCCAAGGCAACTGTGGAGATTAATGGCCTTGTGATTCCAAAAAATATGGTTGTCCTGATGCCCACATGGCCTATGCACCGGGACCCCGAAGTGTGGCCCGAACCAGAGAAATTCAAACCTGAGAGGTACAAAAAGAACAAATTTAAGAAAATAAATGCAATCCACTGCACAAGTTGTTTTTTTTTTTGCACATCTGTGCTTAACGCAAACACAACTGCGTATGCGTATTTTTGCGTTTGTACCATCAGGTTCAGCAAGGAAAACAAGGACAAAATCGATCCCTACTACTACATGCCTTTTGGAGCGGGGCCGAGAAACTGCATTGGGATGCGCTTTGCTCTGGTGATGATCAAACTTGCAATGGTGGAGATCCTGCAGCAGTACAGCTTCTCTGTGTGTAAAGAGACCGAGGTGAGAGCACAGATGTGGATCTTTATACAGACTGGTGCTCCTACTTTAGAGCGAGTATTCAAACACGAGTCATGGATGGTGATTTAGAACGTTACATAACGTCGTGAAATTTATCTCTGCCAGTCCAAAGGTCCAAACCCTTTATCTGATGTTGGACTTTGAACAAAAGTGTAATATGATCTTGATGTGCTAATACTTAATTTCTATGAAATGTAAAGTAGATAAAAGGCCAAGTGTCAGGTTTATAAGGTTTTTCCAGTAGTTTCAAATATGAAAAATATACAAGGGAGAAGTCATTTTTGCTTTCTTCACTGTTGACTTTTTTTGTTTGTTCTCTACTCATGTAATTTCCTGCCAGATTCCCTTTGAGCTGGACATCCAGGGTCTACTTCAGCCAAAACGGCCCATCAAACTGAAGCTGGTGCCACGCTCTGAAAAATCCTGCTGAACAAAGAAACAGACAACAAACTCAATAGTTCTTGTTTATGACGTTCACGTATCTATCATGTATAAAAACAAAATGCCAGGTTCTTATTCAGGCAGCACAGTTATGCCCCTCTTTGTATCAATTGACTCAGAACAAAGAGGAAGCTTTTCTAAAACCTGAACTATCAATAAAAAAAAAGTTTTGTTTCCTGTGTGAGTTCACATTATTATTTTTACCTAAATCTAATAAAAAAAGAAAAAATATTAAAAAATATATATATATATCTTAATGCTCTTGCACAACATCCCAAATGTTAATGGTACAGTTAACACATCACTCTTACTGTGGAAGCTGCACTGTAACTATTCAGGGGATTTTCTTGTAGTTTTGAGAAATAATGTGCAATATTTTGTCAAAAGATGTGCAAATCTGCATACATATGTCTTTGGGGAATCCATATTTGAAAAAGTGAATGTGTCACGGTTCAAAGTTCTTCAAGTAGAAGAGTTTCATTTTGTTCGGGCAGGATTTCAGAAGCTCTGTGTGAGCGACGACTGTAAAGATGACCTGCCTTCTTCTAATAAAACGCTGTTAATAACATATAGTCATGTTTTATGATTCATCCTTGTACTTTTACCAGAAGTTTAAATATTTTAAAGGTATGGTTTAAAATGTTCATCGTCAAATTACTGATCACAAAACATAAAAACGTTTAAAATGTCATTAAATGGCACACAAATTTCAACACAACCCTATTGAAAATGTGTTTTTTTTTAATAATAAAAACCTAAATCTTTTTGAATGAATGCCTGCTGCCTTAAGAGCTGAAGTTTTAAACAGAGATATTAGCGCTCAGAGGATGTGTTGTGAATAACTCCGCTCGTACCACGTCAAAGTTTAGCTCAACATTGGTAAAATTCACTAAATCATAGTTATTTTATGTTTGTATTTTTGAGACGTGTGCTTGTGATTGGAAGATTGCTGGTTCAACTCCCGATACCGACAATGTGGATGGGATTGGTACACCTGCCTCCACCCTCATTTGCCCCACTCTGGACCCTTGAGCAAGGCCCTTAACCCCCACCATCTGCTCCCCCGGGCGCCCTAGACAGCAGCTCTCTGCTCCACACAGAGGGCTGTGGTAGCTCGGTGTCTGTGGTTGTGTCAGGAAGGACATCCGGCATAAAAATAATTGCCAAGTCTTCATGCGAGTAAGTTCGCTGTGGCGACCCCTGAAGAAGGGAGCAGCCGAAAGAAGAAGAAGAAAAAAGTTGTTTTATGTTTTCAGAGTAAATTGGGTATGGCAGCTAAATTAAATTGAGCTGATTTCAAAAGGTCATCAGTTGTAGATGCACGTAGTATGACTTTGTTTTTTCCATCCAATCATCCATCCATCCAATCATCCATCCGTTATCTTCCGCTTCATCCACAGTTGGGTCTGGGGTCATGAGCAGGGAACCACCCCAAGGTGTTCCCAGGCCAACCAAGAGACATAGTCTCTCTACCATGTCCTGGGTCTTCCCCGGGGTCTCCTCCCAGTCGGACATGCCCAAAGCACCTCCCTAGGGAGGCACCCAGGAAACATCCTTACCAGATGTCCGAACCACCTCAGCTGGCTCCTCTCGATGTGGAGGAGCAGAGGTTCTACTCTGAGTCTGTCCTGGATAACTGAACTTCTCACCCTGTCTGTAAGGGAGAGTCCAGCTACCCTGCAGAGGAAACACATTTCACCCGCCTGTATCCACGATCTCATTCTTTTGGTCACTACCCAGAGCTCGTGACCATAGGTGAAGGTAGGAACGTAGACTGACCTGTAAACAGAGAGCTTTGCCTTACAGCTCAGCTCCCTCTTCACCACAACGGACCGGCACAGAGTCTGCAGTACTGCAGATGCTGCATCAACCCACTTGTCAATCTTGCGCTCCATTCTTCCCTCACCCATGAGCAAAACAAGGAGTGGGCTCAGAAAAGGGTGGACTGTGATTTTTAGTTTTATTCAAATCAACCTTGTGGTTTATGAGATATTTTGCTAACAGAAAGACAGAGTTGACTCCAGCAGTTAATGTCAAGATCCCATGTGAGCTGTTAGCCACAACCACACCAACTTGTAGCTCAATATCTGGAAAACACTGGCAGATTTATGTGGCGGCCATCTTGAATCAGGTTGACTCCAGAGGTGTG